CTCTGAAAAAAAAAGTGATACTGAAAATAAAAGTTAAATAAATAATGAGGAATCTTTTTTTTTTTTTTTTTTGAGATACAGTCTCACTCTGTCACCCAGGTTGCAGTGCAGTGGCACAATTTCAGCTCACTGCAACCTCTGCCTCCTGGGTTCAAGCAATTCTCGTGCCTCAGCCTTGCAAGTTTCTTTGAACTGACTGCACCATGGACTACATCATGGTGACCCCTGTGACCCGCATGTACACCTCCAGACGGCCTCCTGGAGCCAGAAAGTCTGACATAACAAGAAAACTGCAAAAGGAGAACAGCTAGCTCCTGTAGTGCCTGATTAACCGACCTTGTGACATTCCACCATTGCTCTCTCAACTGATAAGCCAACCTTTGGACACTGGACCTTGAACCTTGTGACTGCCCCTACCAATGACACTCCCCCAGCTTGCAAAAACTGCCCTGAACTGTAACTTCTGTAACTTTTCACTGCCTACTCCAAACCTATAAAACTAACTCCTATCCCACCACCCTCTGCTGACTCTCTTTTGGAACTCAGCCCACCCGCACCTGAGTGAATAAACAGCCTTGTCACTCACACAAAGCCAGTTTAGGTGGTCTCTTCATTCAGAGTGCACCTAACAAGCCTCCCAAGTAGCTGAGACTACAGGCACGTGCCACCATGCCCGACTCATTTTTTACATTTTTAGTTGAGACAAGGTTTCGTCATGTTGGCCAGGCTGGTTTCAAACACCCAACCTCAGGTGATCTGCCCGCCTTGGCCTCCCAAAGTGCTGGGATTACAGGCAGGAGCCACAGCACCTGGCCAGTAATAAGGTATTTCTGTAGGTACAGTGGCTCATGCTTGTAATCCCAGAATTTTGGGAGTCTGAGGCAGGCAGATCACTTGGGTCCAGGAGTTCGACACCACCCTTGATGTTGTGACAAAACCCTGTCACTACAGAAATATACAAAAATTAGCTCAAGTGTGGTTACACACACCTGTAGTCCCAGCTACTTGGGAGGCTGAAGTGGGAGGATCACCTGAACCTGGGGAGGTGAAGACTACAGTGAATGGTGATCATGTTGCTGCATTCCAGCCTGGGCAACCGAGTAAGATCCTGTCTCAAAAAAATAAATAAATAAAAAAGAGGTAGTTCCACCCTGCCATATTATATTGCTGAGTGAGAAATCTCCAATAAATACAATCCCAAGGGATTTGGGGGGGGGAGAGGGTTGAGTAGCAGACATACAAGTACTTTTCACAAAGAAAATATTAAAATATAGTGCCTGCATCAAAACAAAAAGTTCAAGAAAAAAGATACAAATGAGATGGAGTCTCCCTCTGTCACCCAGGCTGGAGTGCAGTGGCATGATCTCAGCTCATGGAAACCTCTGCCTCCTGGGTTCAAGCAATTCTCCTGCCTCAGTTTCCCAAGTAGCTGGGATTATGGGTGTGCACCACCATGCCCATCTAATTTTGTGTATCTTTAGTAAAGATAGCCATCATTATGATGGCCAAGCTGGTTTCTTTTCTTTTTTTTAATAAATTTTTTTACTTTTAAAGAGACAGGGTTTTACCATGTTGGTCAGGCTGCTCTTGAACTCCCGACCTCGGGTGATCCACCTGCCTCAGCCTCCCAAAGTGCTGGGATTATAGGTGTGAGCCACCGCACCCAGCTTGGCCAAGCTGGTTTCAAACTCCTGATTTCAAGTGAGCTGCCCGCCTCGGCCTCACAAAGTGCTAGGATTACAGGCATGAGCCAGTATTACTTTTTTTTTTTTTTTTTTACATCATATTCATTTTTCCAAGTCTCTGACATCCAAGTATCCTCCTGGTGCTAATAAAACTTTCCTGTTACCATGTACAGATTCTTTGTATCAGCACTATCCATTGTAACTTTCTGCAATGAGATATGTCCTGTATTTGTGCAGTCCCATACCACAAGCACTAGCTTGTTACTACTCACTACTGGAAATGTGGCTTGTACAACTGAATTTGTTTTAAAAATATTTTAATTGGCCAGGTGAGGTGGCTCACACCTGTAATCCCAGCACTTTGGGAGGCTGGGGCAGACGGATCACAAGGTCAGGAGTTCGGGACCAGCTTGGCCAATATGGTGAAACCCCATCTCTATTAAGAATAAATAAAAATACATTTTGGAAAAAAAAATACATTTTGATTTCAATGTAAGTAGCCACATGTGGCTAGTGTCCACTGTATTGCACAGGTCAGCTCTGTATGATTTTTGTGGGTCAAATGCTTGTGAAAATCTACAGTAATGCCAGGCGTGATGGCTCACACTTGTAATCCCAGCACTTTGGGAGGCCGAGGTGGGAAGATCACCAGAAGTCAGGAGTTTGAGACCAGCCTGACCAACATGCATAAACCTTGTCTCTACTAAAAATACAAAAGTTAGCTGGGTATGGTGGTACATGCCTGTAATACCAGCTACTCAGGAGGCTGAGGCAGGAGAATCACTTCAACCCAGGAAGCAGAGGTTGCAGTGAGCCGAGATTGCGCCATTGCACTCCAGCCTGGGCAACAAACAAGACTGTAGCTCTGTCTCAAAAAAAAAAAAAAAAAAAAAAAGGAAAAAGAAAAAAAGAAAATCTATAATAGTATATGTAATTGTAGTTATTGTGCAAGGTGGGTGCAGTGTCTCCTGCCTGTAATGCTATTACTTTGGGAGGCCAAGGCCAAGGAGTGTGATCACTTGAGGTCAGGAGTTTGAAACCAGCCGGGCCAACATGGTGAAACCCCATCTCTACTAAAGATCCAAAAATCAACCAGGCAACGTGGCGCACACCTGTAATCCCAGCTACTCCGGAGGTGGAGACACGAAAATTGCTTGAACCCAGGGGGTGGAGGCTGCAGGGAGCCTAGATCCAGCCACTCACTGCACTCCAGCCTGGGCGACAGAGCGAGACTCTGTGTCAAAAAAAAAAAGTACCAGGTGCATGCCCTCCTTTTTATTATTACACAATTAATGATGTTTAAATAAGCACATCAGTTGCTGAAAACAGTACATAAGTGGCTCAGTAAGCAATTTTATTTTTTTTGGGATGGAGTCTCATTTCTTCGCCCAGGCTGGAGGGCAGTGGTGTGATCCTGACTCACCGCAACCTCTGCCTCCCAGGTTCAAACAATTCTCCTCCCTCTGCCTTCTAGGTTCAAGCAATTCTCTGGCCTCGGTAAGCATTTCTAGAGATGTACTGTATTAAAAAATCTTGGTTTGACTAGGTGTGGTGGCTCATGCCTGTAATCCCAGCACTTTGGGATGCCGAGGCAGATGGATCACCTGAGGTCAGGAATTCAAGACCAGCCTGGCCAACATAGTGAAACCCCACCTCTACTATAAATACAAAAGAAAAATTAACCGGGCATGGTGGCAGGTACCTGTAATACCAGCTACTCAGAAGACTGAGGCAGAATTACTTGAATCTGGGAGAACACTCCAGCCTGGGCGACAAGAATGAGACTTCCTCTCAAAAAAAAAAAAAAAGGCTGGGCGCAGTGGCTCACGCCTGTAATCCCAGCACTTTGGGAGGCCGAGGCGGGTGGATCACGAGGTCAAGAGATCGAGACCATCCTGGTCAACATGGTGAAACCCCGTCTCTACTAAAAATACAAAAAATTAGCTGGGATTACAGGCATGCGCCACCATGCCCAGCTAATTTTTTGTACTCAGGAGGCTGAGGCAGAAGAATTGCCTGAACCCAGGAGGCGGAGGTTGCAGTGAGCCAAGATCGCACCATTGCACTCCAGTCTGGATAACAAGAGCGAAAACTCCTTCTCAAAAAAAAAAAAAAAGAAAAAATTGGGCTGGACACAGTGGCTCACGCCTGTAATCCCAACACTTTGGGAGGCCGAGACAGGCAGATCATGAGGTCAAGAGATCAAGACTATCCTGGCCAACATGGTGAAATCCCGTCTCTACTAAAAATACAGAAATTAGCCAGGCGTGGTGGCATGTGCCTGTGGTCCCAGCTACTTGGTAGGCTGAGGCAGGAGAATCACTTGAATCCCGGATGCAGAGGTTGCAGTGAGCCGAGGTCACACCATTGCACTCCAGCCTGAGCAAAAAGAGCGAGACTGTTACAAATAAAAAACTTGGAACCGGGCGCGGTAGCTCACGCCTGTAATCTCAGCACTTTGGGTGGCTGAGGTGAGTGGATCACCTGAGGTCAGGAGTTCAACATGAAGAAACTCCCAACATGAAGAAACCCTGTCTCTACTAAAAATACAAAAATTAGCTGGGCATGGTGGCACATGCCTGTAATCCTGGCTACTTGGGAGGCTGAGGCAGTAGAATCGCTTGAACCTGGGAGGTGGAGGTTGCCGTGAGCCGAGATCGCACCATTGCACCCCAGCCTGGGCAAGAGCAAAACTCCATCTCAAAACCAAACCAAACCAAACCTTGGTTTGGCATTAGGTTAAAACATCCACCCCACGTCTATTGTACTATGCAGCATATTTTATTTATTTTATTTTGAGATAGAGTTTTGCTCTTGTTGCCCAGGCCTGGAGTGCAATGGTGTCATCTCAGCTCAATGCAACCTCCACCTCCCAGGTTCAAGTGATTCTCCTGTCTTAGCCTCCCCATTAGCTGGGATTACAGGCATGCACCACTACACTGGGCTAATTTTTTTGTATTTTCAGTAGAGACAGGGTTTCACTATATTGGCCAGGCTGGTCTCGAACTCCTGACCTTGTGATCCGCCCACCTTGGCCTCAAAGTGCTGGGATTATAGGTGTAAACCACTGTGCCCAGCCACTATGCAGCATTTAAAAATAATCCAGTGACTTCCAAAACCTTTTTCTTCCTTCTTGACAGATTTGAAGCCTTTGTAACAGCCACATTGACAGCTGGATGGCACCTCAGGGAATCCTGACATCACGTAAGTTGCAGCCTTGACACCAGGTTTATAGTTTATTCAGCTTTTCCCAGCACTGCCTGGCACATAGCATGTGCTCCCATAAAAAGCAGGGAGTGTGTAGAAAACGAGTGGCCTATTTTACAAAACTCTAAATTTATTAAAAGTGTTAAAAGATTTCGTTCTCCCCTCCAAAATATTTTACAATTTAAAAAAATCAAAAACTATGTTCTATTTTCTCAGCCACTGTACAAGTTACTGTTTCCATCTCAGGGCTAGTCTCTGCCCCTTGAACACTCTGTCCTTCCCTCAATCCCTTCTCTTTCAATATTACTATAAGTTTGTTTATAAAACCCTCTACCCTCTCTCCCCACCCCATGCCCTGCTCTGCCCAGCGTGGCTACTCTTTGCAATTCCAGGCCCTTGGCTGCAGGTGAAGCCAAATGGATGGGTGGGATGTACACAGGCAGTGCCCAAGAAGCAAGAGCATGCTTTGTGCTTCTGGGAGAACCACTTTTTTCTTGTCCTATGAACACCTGTTCTGAGCCAAATATTTGGCTTAGAGTTGCCCACAGCCATGCAGCTCTGCTTTTTCTGCACGTTCTCTGGGCGTAAGTCCATGACAGATGGGTCTTATGACTGTACCATTTGTTTGCTTGTGGATTGTGAGGGACAGGAAAGGGGCACATGACTAGAATGGGGCTTGATGGAGTCCCAACTGCTCAGAGGGCAGGCACCAAACCCCACGGGAGGAAGTTTTGGTTTTCTAGTAGGCAAAGCAGGGCCAGCCAGGACTATGGAAGGTGGGGAAGAGGGGAGAAACATCCAACCATATAGCTCTGGAGTGAGCCATGTTTCTTCTGAAAAACCCCCTGTTCATCCCCCCCACTTCATTCTGTAGGTCCCAGGAGAATTCCAGAGGAGGAAGAAAAAGAGGAAAATGATCCTGTTCTGCTGATGGGAAAAGGCAGGAGCTGACACAGTGCTCAGGGCTGGGGAGAGGCCTGCTGTGATCTGCAGCTGTCACTGCTTCCCTGTTCTGTGAGGGAGTTCGTGTGGGCCAGAAGCCAGGCCCTCAGAGGCTTCATCAGCTCTGTTCCTTGTCCTTGACTAATAAGACTGTATGTTGGCCCCCGCTGGACACAGATAAGACCACACGGTTCTCCAGCTGTTTGCCTGTCATCTCCACAGGGCTCCAGGCGTCTTCATCCTGTCCTGTGCCCAGCTGGTAGTTGGTGCCCATGCCCCAGGCGAAAACACGACCTGCAAGGGAGAAAAATGGGTACAGCTGTCTTCAGGATCCCCAGCCCACCTTTCTGCAGCAGGAGAAACCTGGGAAATTGGGGTGGATTGTGGCCTTGGCCAATAGTACCCTGGCAAGGAGGTCCCAGCCTCTGGGAGTTTAGGAAGTTGGGAGAACCCAAGGAGATGATGGATAAAAAAGAACTCTATAAACCAGACATCACAGTCTGTACACATTGCCAAAAGCTTCTCCCTGCTCCTAAGCTTGGCATTCGAGATCCTACCCCACCCTGTGTTCCCAGGACCAGCCACCTTTGAAACTGCCCTGATGTTCCTCTGCCTAGAATGGCATTCTTTGCTTTTCACAAAGCATGGAAACTTCAAGGTACAGTGCAAGCTCCACTTCTGCAGGATGTCTTTCCAGATAATCTCAGGTCAAGCACCTTTGCCAGCTCCAGACTTCTACAGGAGCTCCACGGCTGTCCCCTTACCCAATCAGGCTTTGCTGGTCACTTGTTCACACCTTCCTCTGCTATACTTGCTACAACTCTAACTACTAAGCCTTTTTTCCCCTGATTTAGATTCTAAGTACAAGTCCCTGGGAAGTGGGCACATACAAGATGGTATACGAAGGGATTACCCTGATGGAGAGAACAGCTGGGTTAGGAGTCTGGAGATGTGGGTTCTAGTCCCATTGCCTTCTTGGGCCTCAGTGATATCTCATGCTTTGCTATTTCTCTCCTCTGCATAAGTCACCTTTACTAAAATAATTTGTTTACTCATTTCATATTTATTAATGCCAGAGCTTCTGAGAAGCAGGAACAAAGTACCATCACAAACACTGCTCTCTGCATCTTGGCTCCACCTGAGAGTGAACATACAGCCTACTGGGGAATTGAGTAAGAATCATGACCCCCAGGTCCCAAATAGACAGAGTATACTCAGCCCCACTCACCATCCTTGGTCACAGCATACCCCACAGAGGCCCCACAAGCCACTGAGGAGACAGCAGGTAGCCTGGAGATGAGGGTGGGTATGCTCTTCTCCTCAGCACCCTCCCCGAGGCCCAGCCGCCCATATTCAGCCCGACCCAGGCTGTATGCTTTTCCTGTGGGAGGAGGAAGAGAGATGAGCAACAGCAGAGGGTGTGCTACAGGAAACACAGGTGATAGGCTGGGTGAGTCCCCACGTCCATGGGAGTGTGCCCCTGCTCCCATTTCTGGAGGAGGCCGAGGAGAATCTCTACATAGGCCTCTATTGAACTCATACTTGGAAGAGCACCAGGACTCTAGGAGGATGAGAGTGACGCTCATGGACCCACATGTGGCACACCCATGGAAAAGACCCAGGCTCCAAGGACCATGGTCTCAGGAATCTGGCTAGGCCTAGGCCAGGGTACATTCACTTCACCCCCAAACTAGAGAAGGACCTAAAGGCCCTACCTTCTGAATCCATGCAGACTGTATGATGCTGGCCACCAGAGAAACCCACCCAGGACTTGGTGGAATTCTTGAAGGATGTTAGGTTCTGGGGTATGAAGCAAGATTCTGTGCCCGGAGTTCCTGGGGGGAAAGTCAGAGGCATCAGGGGTGAAGGTGTTTTGAGAGCTGCCCTTCTCAATCCCTCCCAGTGAGGCTGTCTCCCATCAAGATATAGACATTCTCACTTTACAGATGACAAAACTGTGGCTTGGCTTGGAGGGGTTAGATGACCCCACAAAGGATGCACAATGAATAAGTGGTAGAGCCAGGGCGGGAACGCAGGCCACTGGGTCATGCCTGATGCTGGGCTTACCAAGCTGATGGTAGTTGGAGAGGCCAAAGCCGTACACGTGGCCCTCGCGAGAGATGGCAAAGGTGAAATAGGCGCCACAGAAGGCATCCTGGAATCTCACGTGGCCCCGGCTTCCCCTGGATTTCAGCAATACACACTTTGGGACGAGGAGTCGTTCTGTAGGCAGAGAGAAAGCCACAGTCAGTGACAGACAGACATACGTGGCTTCTCTTCTCTCTACCCCAAGTTTAATTCTCCTCCATTATAAAAGCCCTTGGGAGGCTAGGTAGAGACTCTTATCCCTATTTTATAGAAAAGGAAACTGAGATCAAGAGAATACAAGTGCCTTGCTTGGAATCCTACAGTCATTAGAGGTATTATTTACATGGAACTTACCATGTGCCTGATATTCTTCTCATTAACTCATTTAATTTCACAGCAACCTAATGAAGTAGGTTTACAGGTAGGTAGGCTTAGAAATGAAGAAACTATGTTCAGGGTCCCACAGCCATTAGGTGGCAAAACTACCGGAGCAGTCTGTCTCCAAAGTCTGAGGTTCTTAACATTGCAAGTCACTCTGATGCAAGCCTGACCATAGAGAATCCTTCCTGCCTCTGGCCTTCACTGTGGGAGTGGCTTGCCAATTTGCCTGGCTGGAGGTACCAAGGCCACTTACCAAGGCCTTGCCGGCCACCACGGTTGGCAAATAACTCAGGCACACGGCCTAGTTGGCCCTGTTCCCCGCAGCCCAAGGTGTAGAGGTCACCATCAGCTGTCAGCATCACCAAGTGGTCGTTTCCTGAGGATGAGAAGGTAAGGGATGCAGGCCACATCTGTAAGACTGAAGGCTGGGCCAGCCCCAGAACCAAGGTTTTCCAAATCCTGCCCCAAGCAAGTACTGCCAGACCCACCTGAGGCTACCTTCACCACAGGCACATCCAGCTGGACCTGTACGGGCACCATGCTCTTCTTCATGGGCTCCAACAGTCCGATCACACCATTATTGTCCTGGAAGGGAGGGACAGGGCACTTATCAGCCAGTCCTGCCTGCCCCATACCAGTGAAATCCAGAGAAGGGCAGTGGTAGCAGATGGGGATGGTGCAGTGGGCAGGAGCCGGGCCACACAGTCAAATACTTATGACTAAAATCATTTATGGTCTGTGACTTGCATTAAAATAATCGAGTCAGAGAGTGGATGCAAATAGAAATAAACAAGTCTGGCTACAAGTTGATAATTATTGAAACTGTGTGACAAGTATATGGGAGTTCAATATATTATTCTGGCCCAGCCATGTAGTTACAGGATTACTGAATCCCAGCGTTTTGGTAGGCCCAGGTGGGCAGATCGCTTGAGCTCAAGACCAGCTTGGGCAACATGATGAAACCTGTCCGTACAAAACAAATACAAAAATTAACTGGGTGTGGTGGCACGAGCCTATAGTCCCAGGTACTTTCGAGGCTGAGGTAGAAGAAATCAGCTGAGCCCAGAAGTTGAGGCTGCAATGTGCTATGATGATGCCATTGCACTCCAGCCTGGGTGACAGAGCAAGACCTCATCTCTAATTAAAAAAGAAAAGAAAAAAATATAATTCTGATTACTTTCATCTGTTTGAAATTCTCCATTAAAAAAATCAAAATATTCTAGTGGAGAGATTTGATAAAAAAAAAAAAAAAAAAAAAAAAAAAAAGACGTGATAGAAAAACACCCATTTGGTCAGGTGCAGTGGCTCATGCCTGTAATCCCAGCACTTTGGGAGGCTGAGAAGGGTAGATTGCTTGAGATCAGGAGTTCAAGACAAGGCTGGCCAACATGGTGAAACTCCGTCTCTACCAAAATATAAAAATTAGCCAGGTGTGGTGGTGTGCACCTTTAGTCCCAGCTACTTGGGAGGCTGAGGCAGAGGAATCACTTGAAGCTGGAAGGCGGAGTTTGCAGTGACATTGCACCACTGCCCTTTCAGCCTGGGAGATGAAGCAAGACTCCATCTCAAAAAAAAAAAAAAAAAAAAAAAAAAA